TTTTGATTGCCACACCTCGAGCTCGGCGATAAAAAAAAAACCTAATCGATATCCACTGTGCTCGCCCGCCAGTACCAGATACAACCACGAAGAAAGAAAAGAGGGGTAGCCAGTGAGTTCAAAGCACCGCCAGAAAACCCACTGTGCTCGCCCGTCATCGAAACCCACTGTGCAAGCAAGTACGAGTAGTGCTGAAAATGAAATGATTATGTGTATTGTTGGGCTATGCCTATTTTAGGGCGACGCTGGTTTTGCGGTGCTCTTTTGAGTGCCAGATCTCGAGCTCTGCGGTAAAAAAAAAATCTAATCGATATCTACATGTTCGTGTTTGCAATAACGTGTCACTTGATTGTTGATGAAGGGGTTGTTCAAAATTTGATCACTGCGTCAGAAACCGAGTAAATAGCATAAAACCACTGCAATTGTGGTTAGGGTTTCAAAAAGGCATCATTTTATAAATTTCCACTAATTATTGCGCTAGAAAACATCGATGACTGGTTTGTTTAAATTCGAACCGTTTTATGATAGACGTGGCCCACAAGACATGGCCACGTATGCCCCCCCCTCCCCCCCTAAAAAAAGCAAAGAGGAGGTGGCAGGTGGTTAATTACCGTTAGCCTCTCGACCCGGCCGGACCATATCTTCTCCACACTCGCGCTCACTCTCTCCTCTCCCCCGTGCGTCTCTATCCCTCTGTCGACGATGGCGGCAGCAAAGCCCATGCACGGCGGCAAGTCGGTAGGAACAAAGGGACCGGCGGCGAGGGCGATTACTCTAAGGCAGAAAACTGGCTTGGGAGTGGAAGCTTCGCCACACAGCCGCCCGAGCCTTCGCCCTTATTACACGGCATAACAAAAACATGATGTTTAATGAAACGAATAACAAATTAACAGCACAAACGGTTCAATCTTCCAACTGGGGAAAGACAATCAGGCCATCTGCATCCACCTGCCGTATATTTTTCCTTGATGTTCTCATCCAAGTTGGCATCCACTCGATTTCCTAAAAACCAATATCATTGAGAGTGGTCAACACTCTCCAAATAGTTCAGCATGTTGATGTATAATGTGTTGCCTAGTCTCTTCCAACAGATCGGTCTTTTGGTTGCATTGGATAGAGCATGCATTTCTACATGGTATTCTACACAGGACAGTTGATTTTCAGTTCTCACGTTAATCTAATGATAACTGATAACACAATTTCTGAAAGAAGAATAAAACAATGAAACAATGAAAAGTTTTCAGGTACTAGCAAAACCCTCTAAAAAAAAGCTACTAGCAAACCAATAAATTCATGGCCAGCAAGAGGAACTTTACATGGTATCGTTGTATGAAAAATAGATATCGAGACTGGGAGAATGGGAGAGTGGTGCAGAAAATTTAAACATGTACCAGCTGCTTGACGCCGAGTTGAAGAAAAAATATTCGCCAAAAAATCCCAATTTGTAGTCCAACAACCTTATTCCAACATGAGGATGGCCTGGATGCACGTTCATAGCATTCATCAAGGCAAACTCCGCGAATATCTCGGATTCTGTGAAACAGTAGCAGCCGACTTAAGTAGCGTGTTGCTGGCGCCGCTGCTGTTGCTGCTGTGGGCACCCCTACCCTTGCCGTTCCGCGGTGGACCATGGTAACGAGAGCCTCCGCCGCGGCCGCGGGTGGCAGCGTTGGCAGAAGACTTGAAGTCACCTCCCACGCCTTGGAAGAGAGCCACCCTCTGATCGAAATTGCTCATCTGTCCAAACAACTCGTCGAGGGTGATGGGAGTGGTCATGGCGTCGAGGGCGAAAACCAGCGGCGGGTACTCCATGTCAAGCGAGGATATACGAGATGAGCTCATCATCCTTCAACGGCTTGCCAGCCGCGGCGAGCTCGTCGGCGAGTCCCCGCATGTGCGCGAAGAAGGTAGCCACCGATCGCGTCCCCTTCTGCGCGTTGGTGAGGGCAGCGCGGATGTTGTTGACGCGGGACAGCGACGTCGACGAGAACATGCTCGCCAACGCTGTCCAGAGCTCTCGTGCATGCGCGATGGAAGTCACCTGCACTAGCACTTCTTTTGACAGATTATTGAGAAGATACCCAAGTACCTGCTGGTCCTCTCGGAACCAGACGGCATGGAGGGGATTGGGGATGGTTTCCTCCTTTCCATTCTTGTCCTTGCTGACGACGAACTCGGGCGGCTCCGCCGTGCTTCCATCAACGTATCCGAAGACTCCAGCCCCTCTCAGCTGCGGCGTGATCTGGGTGCACCATAAGACGTAGTTGGTGCGGGTGAGGCGCTCGGTGATCTGGCCGGAGAGAGGGAAGGAAGCAGCGGCGGATGAAGCCATGGCAGGAAGCTGCGATGGAGAGGAGGAACGCTAGATGAGAAGAGTCAGGCTCTGTATACCATGTGGAGGAACGTCGTACCCATCTTGGGCGATGGCTGCGTGTTAATATAGGCCAGGGCGCGACTCCTGGCATAGCGTACAAGGTTGTTCAGATTACATAGAGAAAGAGATAAAGAGATAAGAGGAGATTACAACCATATGACAACTAACTAGAGATCCTAGTCTATCTTGGTTTGGACTCCTCCATCAATGCAACCTGAACGTATGTCACAGTGCAACATATATTGTTCAACATGGTCAACACTCTCCAAATAGTTCAGCACAGTTGATTTTTTCAGTTTTCACGTTAATCTAATGATAACTGATAACACAATTTCTGGAAGAAGAATGAAACAATGCCATCGATACCCTGGTTGGATATATCCCTAATAAAAACAATAAAGATCATGGTTCAACTAGTACATTAGAAAAGCCGTAATAGAGGTACTTAACAGGGCATACAGAGTCGATATGGTATATTAGCTTCTGCACACAGAAACAAACAAACAAACCAACCAACACCAAAAAAATGTAACATTGCATTTTAACCATGAGGTGAAATCTTAACTGAAATGTTGACAGAAAAATTGCATACACAGTCGACACATGATGATATAAGCAAAAACACAATGGACAAACTGGTAATAGATTGATTTTCTCAAAACATAATAGAAATATTTTTGTAGTCGGAAATTTTGTAAAAATTAGGCAGGTGAGGGCGTTCATTTCTAGCTTTGTTCTTACAGTGCGGCAGTTCACCTGTAAAAATTTTGGTACAAGATAATTCAACCTCAAACTTCGGATGTAGTCTGGCAACCGAAGCATCCGCCAATACGGTTTCACCCTTCCATATTTTGCTTGTGTATCGCCCATGAAGAACTCCTATCAACAAACTCCTAGCACAACATCAGTTTCTACTTCATCACCAGTGTTCATTATTCTGGGCTGCTTCCGTGCTATGGTCTATGGAGTTGTCACTTCATTATGTCATTTCAGAAGGCAGGGTCACTTGCAAGGGAGAGCCTCCTAGCGCAATGTTGAGTGTGGCCTGCTTCCACTCAAGGGAGGGAAGCCTCGTCTTTTTATGTCAAAATCTTGCATTAACTGTCGAAACAAGGAGACATCAGTCTCCCAAAGATTGCCGGCCAAAAACAAAACACACATAATTGTAGTTCTTGAATACCAGAGTCATGACAGGCAAAGAAAAGACCACGTGTGCCTGAACTAAGTGAGCAGGTGCATACTGAACGGCGGGATCATACAGCAGCCTGAAATGTTTTGGAGCAACATCGTCAGTAAGAAGACGCCATCTTAAGTCGAGGAGCCCGAGATAGCAGCTTCGCGATTATACAGGCGCGTGAGCAGAGAACAGATTTGAACTGAACTTCAGTATACGAACATCATTCAGGCTCATCAGATTCATTGGCACCATGTACAACAAACATGGTGCTGAAAATTGACACAGCCATGACATTCACCTGAAG